GGCAGCTTCCCCTCGATGAGTCCTCGCGGGAAAAGACTGCTTTCCGTACGCCTCAGGGGTTATTTCAATTTAATTGTCTTCCGATGGGGTTGAATGCTGCCCCGCCACATTTCAGAGGTTGATGGAACTGGTATTAACGGGGTTGCAGTGGGAGACATGTCTGATATATTTAGACGATATTATCGTCTTCAGCTGCACATTTGATGAACATTTACTGAGGTTGGAGGCGGTGTTCGCCAGGATGCGTTCCGCTAATTTGAAATTTAAACCTAAGAAATGTCACCTACTGCAACGGTCCGTGCGCTATTTGGGACATATCGTTAGTGCGGACGGGGTTGCCACGGATCCGGACAAGACGGCGTGCGTCCATGACTGGCCAACCCCGGCCACGGTGGGGGATGTGCGTCGGTTTTTGGGGTTTGCCTCATATTATCGTAGGTTTGTTCCAAATTTTGCGACGATCGCGAGGCCTCTCTTACGGGTAAAGGACGGAAATTTGCTTGGGGACCGCCAGAAGAGGCGGCGTTTCAAGGCCTGCGTGATCGGTTGGCTACGGCGCCGACGTTGGATTATCCGGATTTTGATCACCCCTTCATTCTGGATACGGACGCGAGTGACACGGGCATTGGGGCCATGTTGTCTCAGTCCAAAAGCGCGGACCATGCGGCCTTGCAGTATGCGCTGAAGGTGGACCAACCATCCGCCCAGCTGGCGCGGTGGTTGGACACGCTGTTAGAATTTTCCTTCCAAATTCATCATCGGAAGGGGGTGCGTCACGCGAATGCGGACGCGCTCTCTAGGTTGCCGCAGCGATCCCCTTGCGCGTGCGCATCCGGGACGCATAAGTGTGCGCCGATCCAGCATCCCCCTCAGCCTGTTGCGTTGGCGGTCGAGGTGCCTGAGGCTCCAATGGGGCCGGAACCGGCTGATGGGGTTTTGAATCTTCCAAGGGCTGTGTGGATTCGGGAACAAATGCTGGACGATTCATTGGGGACCTTACGGAGTCGGGCTGCAAAGGAGAGTGGGGGACCGGGTTCTGGGGGTACGCCGGGAACCGCTCTCCGCGATGGTCTGCTGATGTGGAGGGAAGGGTTACAGGAACGCTGGCGTCTTGTTGTACCGGCATCTTTGCGGTACGAATTGATTAGGACTCTGCATTGCGACACGCTCTTACATCTGGGGGTGTAGAAGACCCTATTGACGTTGCAGCGAGATTACTTTTGGCACGGCATGACAACAGATGTCGTCGGTCACGTTCGCGCGTGTCCCGACTGTGCCCGGCGGAAGCCGCCTAAACACCCATATGTGCCTCCGTTACAGTCTATTCAGGTGTCTCGAGTTAATGAACTGGTGGCGTTAGATATTTTGGGACCCTTTCCGCCATCCGCTAAAGGTAATAAATACTTGCTAGTTGGGGTGGAGTACCTCTCCCGCTGGCCGATGGCCTGGCCCTTGCCTGACCAGTCGGCGGCGTCCATTACAGATGCCTTTCTATTCGGGTACGTTATGGACAAGGGGGCGCCGGAGAGGCTCCTCACAGATCAAGGCCGAAATTTTTCTTCTAAATTGTTGGGGGAAGTGTGCGCGGCTCTGGGAACTAAAAAGATACGGACATCTCCCTACCACCCGCAGACGGATGGTATGGTCGAACGGCTAAATCGGACTTTGTCCGCCATGCTATGTCACACGGTGAGTGAAAAACAATCAGATTGGGATTTGCATATCCCTGGGGTACTCTCGGCATACCGGATGACGCCGCATGTGTCTACAGGATATTCGCCGTTTTTCCTTATGTACGGTCGCGAAAACGTGCCGCCGATGGATGTGCAGTTGGGAACTGGAGTGAGGGGACCTACTAAGCCTCTTCCTGATTACATTCAGGACACCGCTCGCCGCGTCACTGAGGCGCAGAAAGGGGCCCGCATGGCTATGGCCAAAGCCCAGGCCCGGAACGAACGGTGCGCTCGACGCTCTAAGGGGAAGTGCCCCTGGAAGGTGGGGGACCTGGCCTGGCTGCATTGCCCACAGGTGCGGCCAGGGACCTCCCCTAAATTACATAAACCATGGCAAGGGCCTGTTCGGCTCATCAAGGTTCCCAACCCACAGTCTGCACGCGTTCGGTTCGGATCTCGGCGTTGGTACGTCCACACGTCTCGCTTGAAACCATATGTGGCCCCTCGAACGGATGCGTCATCCCCTGATGTTGCCTTGCCGGGGTCTGTTGCTGCCGACGCACCCTTGCCTGTGCCTGTTGACCCTGCAAGAGCACCTGTCGTGCCTTTTACAGACAAGCCGGCCGTGACACTGCAGGAGACAGGGGACTCTTCTCGGGGTGGGCCTACCACGGCTGCGGGGACGCCGAGCCCCGCCGCCCTTCCGACCCCGCCGCGGACATGATTGCGGGACACCCCGGACTCTGGTCCTTCTGGGAAACGGGACCGTGGCGTTGGCGGGCCTCCAATAGCGACAGGCAGTCTTGATCCTGTCGCTCCTAAAACCTCGTCGCGTTCTCGGTCTGCAGGGGGGCCGCTGCCCGTCCGGGACGGGCCGGCAACCCATACGCGGTCGAAGTCCCTTACTTTTCGTTGATTGATACTGTTCTTGTTCTTGTTGTTATTGTTATATTTATTGTATGCATCGTTGTCCTTGCATGTCTGATGGTTGGTGTTCGCTCGCATTACTTGTTGTTGTTGTTGTTCAGCCGAGGACGGCTGGAATTTTCTCCACGGGGGAGGGTGGTGTAATGCGGGCGTAAACGGCCTCGCGGATATGACGTCACGGGGGGAGGGGTTAGGTCACGTGGGGGAGAGGGGTAAGCTCTTAAGGGCGGTAACCGGAAGAGACGGGAGGAGAGTGTAAGAATAAAGACAGGAGGAGGCCACGCAGGGCAGAGGGTGGAGAGTGGCGCGATCGCCACAGGACGGGACTCGGCACCGTTGGCCAGCGGTGTCCGGGCACGGGGGAACGGAGAGCAGCTGTGGGGCTGCAGCGAGAGCAGCTGAGAGACTGCACAAAGGCGGAGAGGCTAAGAGGGAAGCCAGCAGCGGAGCTGCATCGGGAGCGGGGAGAAAAGGCTACGTGAGCGACGGCAGCTGTCAAGCCGCCAAGGGGAAGGCTCTGAGCGAGGGCCGTGTGGGGCAAAGTTGTAAGAACCCAAATAAAGGACAACGGAGACAGACACAGTGGAAGAGTCCTTTATTACATTAGTAATCTGGCGGGTTAAAGGCTGTGGCTATGCTAGAAATGTCAACTTGTAAGATCTAATTCACACTCGCATACCCTCGCAAGAACTAACACAATGGGCCCATTTATTATCATAGTTTCACGTAACAGTTTATTAATTAAAAGACAGCTTTACAATATACAAAGTTTTTCAATGCAAGGGACTTTTTTTTACAAATGTAAACGTTAGATAAAAACGCAACCGTGGTTTTAAGATGTGTTACGTTAAAGTGTGCGCGGCGAGTGGGAAATTGCACGTGCCAAGCATGACTGGAGGCGACTCGTGAAGGAATCTCCAGGCCAGTTGGGGGGGGCAGTCGCCCTCCAACGTCGTGTTGAATGGCGGCCGTTGTTTGTTATTTGGCCGTAAAGACAAAACGCACAACCTGTTTGGGTGTCATGGAACTTATGTGGTCAAGGCACAGCTAAAACCTCATTCACAAAACCCTAAAAACACACACACACGTGCACGCGGTTGTTATGAAACACACTGTGCACGTTCCGCCGGTGTGTATGTTCGCTATTTTACAATACGAGCGATGTCATTTATGTTCCGGGCAATTAAAAGGACGGAACTCGTGCAAGCAGTGCTACATATCTATAACTCCTGCATGAGAGGCCAATTCCCCCGTACCTCTGATGAGCACGGTTGGCTACGTATGATGCGAAAGAAGTTCAACAAATGTACATACAGAGTTCAAAGGCTCTGCTGGTTGGCCAGCTCTCAGCCATTGCGGCTCTTGACGGGGATGAGCACAAGCTCCCCCTCCCCGTGTCACTGGCTGATCGCAGAGCGGTCCTGCTGCCGAGCAGTCCAGCTGGCTGATCGCCGATTCAAGGGTAAAGGCGACATTCTCATTGAAAGAGGGGCCCCCGTTTGAAGACCCCTTGAAGGCAGAGGGGCCCGATGTGTGTAGAGGTCCGCGGAGTTTGAAAAGGGTCGAGAAGGGGGTCCCAAACAGCACAACGGATGGGCGAGGGAAAACTCAGTGGAGCTTTTTGAATCTTGTTCGCTACGAGCACACGTCACTGTGTTGCCAGAATAAATGACGCTCTTCCACCAGTGTAGGGCTGTTACAGAGGGGCTGTATGTGTAGGGCTGTATGCATAGGATCACACGGGTAACAAACACAGTGGGCGGGGCTCCGTGAGTACACGGGGAGGTGCCCGCAACGACGTCCGCACCGGGCGGCCTGGGGGGCTGCCCGGGGGGTTGTGATCCTCCGGGGGGTATAAATGGGGATGAGCCGGAGAGCTCGGGGTGGAGTTTTTAGAGTAAAAGGAGGGAAGACAGAAGATCGACTAGCTAGAGCCCTGGACTCCCCTGGGACGCCGCCCTTGTCAGGGCCGCGCAGGACCGAGCCAGTGGCGTGGTCCCGTGAACCAGAGTTAGTACTCTGGGACTCCGGGTACCGTAGCCCGACTGACCAGTGTCGGGCCAGATAGCCTCCCCTAGCCCATTAGTGGAGGACCAGGAGGTAGTGTCAGGGGTAGCTAGTAGAGTATTCCCAGCTATCCGGGTGAGGGGGCCGATACACCCCTCTAGTATTGTATGTCCGCAGTGTGACTACTTGTACGAATAAACACGTGTGCCTTACAACGGTGTCCAAGCGTCATCAACGGTACTTCACCAGTATAGGTCCTGGACTCCCTTTCAAAAAGTATCGATGTGCACTTATTAAAGAAAAGCGTGCCTGTGCCTGTGTGCGCATGTGTTCGTGCGTGTTTCAACGGAGCACGTAGACTGCACGCGGACACGGAGCACGCTGCGTCTTCTGCTACCAAATGTGCGATTCACACTGCGTCATTTTAACCACTCCAACCCCTAATCCAAAGCGGCGGTAGTTCATGGCTCCACACAACCTGAAACGCAACACCAGCATCACCACCGTGAGCATCAAGGCTGTCGTTAACCTCGCCAGGATTAGCACCACCGTCATCACAACACCCGCGATAATCAACACCCGTACGAGCAACGCTACCTTTAGCAACATCATCAACGCCTTCAGGATCACACTTATTCACGTACAGCCCTTTTGTAAAATCCACTGCTGGATGAAAGCCTCTGCACAAGGGCCATTTTACCAGACTTCACCGAGTTGGTCAGTGTGGGTTGACGGCAGGTAGAAGAGACATGGGAGCATATAATACAGTACAACAAGGGATTGTGCTGCACTGCCCTTTGCTGCCCACTGCAAATGGGTGATCACCTACTATGCAGAGTGGTCACCCATTCAAGCACTATCCAGTCTCATACTTGCTCAGCTTCCAAGATCGGATTAAATCGGGCACTTTCCATGTGATTTGGCCAAAGGCAACGTCACGATAGCCATCCAGCAAAGGCGGTGGTCACCACGTCGCGCACTTTCAGATGCGCTTCTGCTGCCGTCTGGAACAGTCTTCCTTCCGATATTAGGAAGCCACTGGAGTTATAAACGTTTAAACCCAGATTGAAAACTCATCTCTTTAGAACTGCTTTTTATGTTTAGCTTGTCCTTCTGCCGCACCTCCAATGAGCACGGTTGGCTACGTACGGTGCGAAAGAAGCTCAACGTACACGTACAATCATACAAGAGAATCAGAACAGATCTCATTAGCACCACCATACTCATCACCACAGCCAGCGTTACAGAAACAACACCACCAGGATCACCACCACCAGCAGAACTACCAACTACCCACGCAGGCCCCCTGTGCCAAGCCTACCTCCACGTGTTGGCCTCTGCGTCGTACACCTCGATGGTTTTGAGGTAGGTGGTTCCATCAAACCCTCCGACGGCTATGAGCTGTCCATTCACCACGGCTAGGCCCACCTGCACCCAACGTCATCATCGTCATCATCACCACAATCTCCTTTGAGCACAGCAATATTGTTGCACACACCTGCAGCATTAGCTGCTTTGACACTGAATGTTCGATATACAGCAGCTCGGAGTGAAGAACACGTCCCAAGTTGTGTTTGCACCAATAATAAATGTATAAGGAAATAGGTGTTATGCGCTGCTCAATTTAAAATTTGCAGCTTGCCTGGAAGTTAACTGTGCTGTACAGCATACTGTGTGCAAAGCTGTAGTTTTTAAGATTGTAAGAAAACAGAGGCTCATGTTTCTAGGGCTGTGGCCACTGGTTACTACTACAAGTGCATAAAAAAAACATTTATTGGAATCTGCTACAAGAATTAATCATTATTCTGTTGTAACGTACGAGCAATTGGACGGAAAGGCAAATGTATGGATAGCGAGACAGAGGGAGAGACACATGTACACAGGGATGGATGAATATATGGACAAGAGACAACGATTCCCGATAGCCTAAATAGACTTCTGGGGCAAATGCTGGTAGCAGCTATAAAGGCCAACAGAGCACACGAAGGGGGTGGGTGGCCAGCACCACGCCCGGCCACCTTTGTCTCCCTAGTGGTGATGTTTTCACACCACACCAGGTACTCGTGGAAGGGCAGACAAGCAGAAGGACGGAGGGACGCGACGTTCGTTCGGCGGCACAGATGGATGGAACGTACTGCGTTCCGACACGTGTTCATGGCGGCGATCGGGCTCCACGTGTTTTCGCGGGGGCAGTAGCGCTCCGCCGAGCTCAGCTCGGTGGTGTCGTCGTGTCCACCCACCGCGTACAGGCAGTCCTGGTAAACAGCGCAGCCCGGGTACTCGCGCCCAGTGCCCATTGGCGGCACCGGCGCCCACCGGTTATCGGCGGGGCTGTATCGCTCCACTGTTTGCATACACACACACACGGCCATGCGTAATGTACCTTCACGGGCTCTTGGATGGGGCGACACCAAAGGAAACGATGAACACCAACAACTGAAAAAGCGTGCAAAGAGCCAGATGTGGCCCTGGTGAAGTGGGGTAGGATTCGTGGGAAGGGGGGCTCGTGCTAGTAGCTGATTGGCTAGATGTGGCAGTGTTTGGTGGGCAAGTGCTCCCCCCATTCAAACTCCATGCTCCATCTCACCAGTGAAATGTTTGCTTTTTCAGTTTTTTCCCAACTTTCGTGGTGTTTGTGGCACGGCACTGACCTTGACCCAAAAGCCACAGAGGATAGCCAATGCTCAAGTGAGCATTGGGTGGTGCTCATCACCATTGGCAGTCCCTGGGCCAAAGGTGAACATTCTACACCCTACAGAAATGACCAACTATTTGTCATTTGTCAAATGTTTTCACTCCATATTTACCAGTGGAGGTGCACTTATGGCACCACGGTGGCAAGATGTTAACACGTACCTCGCCTGGTACACAGGAGGTCGTGGAATCGAACCCAACCCTGACGCCTGTATATTTTGGAGTTTTCACATCTCTCCCTCCGTGGTCATGTGGGTTTTACTCTGCGGTGGGTGGACAGCGCCACGCCCGGCCGCCTTTGTCTCTCCAGTGGCGATGTTGACACACCACACCAGGTACTCATTTGAGGCCGAGTCGACCGCTAAGCTACCGCTCCCCACACAACATGCAGCATGCACACACACACAGGAACACTCAGCATTGGCTGTGTGAGCCAGATGGGCACGAGAGAGAGACCAGTGTCGAGAGGCGATGTCCCGTCAAAGCCCCCGACTGCATACAGGTGTCCCCCGAGGACAGCCACAGCCATCCCGAGTCTCCGCGTGCTCATAGATGCTACCCGGCTCCACTTGTTCTCCTTGGGGTCATATCTAATGATGAGTGCACATACAGAGATTTACACACGCACAGGGGGAGATCAGATCAACGCACACAAACATCTGCCCCATATAGTCTCATCAGACTGTTGGGGCAAGTGCCGTTAGCGATTACACTGGTCAACAAAAATAAAAAAAATTCTGGCCTGGACTTTTGCAGCTGTTCTAGACTAATTTCAGGGTGCGGATTCCAAATCTGATCTCTGATTTTCTCTCTCACATCTCATTTGATGCTATCGGCGAACCCCATTTTCATTGATTTTACCCGAAATCAACTCTGTCACTTATGATTGCAAGTTGTTGCGAGTCAGTGACTGCTTTAGTGTTAAAATACGGTGCTGTATGTTTAGGATAGTGTGTTTATAATATCATTTTATGTAGATATCCACATTTATTTAATATTTTTCTTCTGCAGTTTTGATTGAAAATGCAATCTTTGATATCTCAAAAACCTCATGTGATAGACAAAAACAGATTTGGAATCAGCACCCCAAAATTACCTTAAAACCGTTGGAATACCTTACGCCAGAAAAAGTGTGTTGACCAGTGTTAGCACCTATGAAAGTCTGCACGGCACACGAGGGAGTGGGTGGCCGGCACCACACTCGGCCGCCTTTGTCTCCCGAGTGGTGATATTTACACATCTCTCCAGCTACTCGTTTGAGTCTCTGTCGACCTCGGGAATAGTACTCGGGTCGCCGGGATCTTAACGCAGCGGGCGCGCGAACCGCTCCACAAACACACGCATGCGCACGCATGCACGAGTACGCACCTCTCGACAATATTTAGGCAGTTCACTCCGTCCTTCCCGCCGACGGCGTACAGGAATCCGGCGAGCACAGCCACGCCGACGCAGGAGCGGCACGTGCTGATGGGCGCCACGTCGCTGCTCCACTGGTTCGTCTTGGGGTCGTAGCTGAGCGAGAGCAGCTCCACCGATTAGACGAGCACACCGTCAGGTTTCACCGGGTAAAGTCGATCGGCAAGTCGCGTGCGGGACGGAAAACAGCGTGGGTGTTCGGCCCACCGATTCCAAGACGTCTCACCAGCAGGGGAAGACTACCAACCCCCTAATTACCCGAATTCAGAGAGGGGGCTCTTCTAGCGCCGCACCCTCTTGGTGAGGCCCTTGTACCAGCGGTCACATTCGCAAGCGACTGCAGGGCTGAACTTTAATCTTTTTTACTAACTAAATAAACAAATATCATCCTGACCATGCATATGGGGCCTCGTATTGAAGCTAGTTACATATATTTATCGGGACAAAATGCATATTTATTAAATAAGTTAACGGTTTGACACACGTGCAACTAAATGCATGGACAGGCAGCATTTGCTTAGCGCTCAAGATGCGTTCCTCGAGAAGTGAGCGCAAACGAACTCGGCGCTAATAGGGGTCATTATACCATTGTATATACTTATTTCATCCAAGCAATATACGAGGGCCTTATTGGGGTACTGGTAATAGCGCTAATATAATAAAACAGGTGATAAACATTATTTCCTAAATAAAAATAATACTTCATTAAGAACATCAGTATAAAAAGATCACAAAGACTTCGTTTTTCCATCTTCAGAATATCTCCCGTATCCGATCCCTTATTTCTGCTTCAGAAGCAGAGAATCTGCTCCGAGCCTCCATCTCATCTCGTATAGGCGACAGCTCGTCTTACTCGCTGGCGTGGCTAAGAAGGTGATGGTCTATTTGCAGCTTGTTCAGAATGCGGCTGCTGGGGTGTTGACCAGAACCCCTTCTTCTTCTTCCCTGCACTGGCTTCCAGTTTCACATAGAATACAGTTTAAAATCCTTTTGTTAACTTACGGCCAAGTGAAAAGCCACTGAATGATTTATATTAATAATTATCCGCATCTTTAAAGTGTCTGAAATGTACGTCCGGAATCGTCGAAATTGTGGAAATGCCCGTGCATGTGCATGCATGGATTAGTATGCACAAGTGCAAGCTCAGGTGAGAAGAGGAGCAGGTGGAGGTGTGTGGAATAGATGTATGATGCATGCTCGTGGCCAAGTCTGTGTTTGATGTGCATCGCACATGTAGACCAATGGCAAAACTTGAGCAAACATCACAATCAAAAGCAGCAGTTCACTATTTCAGGTCTGTACACGAGTGCTGTGGGTCAGCCTTCACATACACAGCAGCACACAATCACTCATAAGTAAAGCAGCACTCACACAGCAGTACACTGTCAATCATACACCATCCACTCATTCACAGCAGCCACTCGCACGCAGCAGCACTCAGCTACTCACAAACTCGTGAAGCAACCTTTACTCGGCGTGACTGCGTTCGCAGGATAAGATCGCCTGCCGGCGTCTCATGGATACCTCCACGCCCTGAGGGGTCCACGCCTTACGATCATACACCACTCACCATGCACTCGCACGTACATCCCTCAAGCACTCACTCATCCACCAAACATCCCCAGTATGGCCTTAACAGACTGTTGGGGCAAGCGCTCCTAGCGAGTACCTATGAAGGTCGGCACGGCACACAAGGGGGTGGGTGGCCAGCACCACGCCTGGCCGCCTTTGTCTACCGAGTGGCGATGTTTACACACAACATACTCATTTGAGCCGAGTATACCTAGGGGACGCCCAGAACCGGTCCAGATAATCATCACTGGTGTTGGCCGTGAGCGGGAAACGAACTCAGGTCACCGGGTTCGTAGCGCGGCCCGCTAACCGCCACCGCTCCCCACAGAGGCACTCGCTCATACGTCCCTCAATCGCCCCGCCGACTCGCTCGTTCGCACGCACCGCTCCACACTGTTGAGGTAGGAGGATGCATCGGCCGCCCACGGCATAGAGGAGGTCATCGAGCACGGCCACCCCCACGCCGCAGCGCCGCTTACTCATGGAGGCCACCATGCGCCACTCGTTGGTCTGCGGGTCGTAGCGCTCCACGCTGGAGAAGGCGTCGCCGCTGCACCAGCCACCCACTGCACGGTGATGGACAGGGAGAAAAGATCCTCTTGTAGCCTTAACAGATCGTTGAGGTCATTTCTGTTAGTAAACACCTATTAAACTAAACAAACGATTAAAATTTTACCTGCTAAGGCCCACGAAGCTGTATAGGTCTTTTTCAGAAGCGAACTGGCCACAAATTATAGCTCAAAGTGGCTAATCATGTGGAAATTTATAGCAGCCAAATATTCCAAACACATGTGCAGGGGAAAAACTGGAGGATCTGGAGAAAAATCGACGCCACCACGGGGGGAGAGACACATGCAAACTCTGAATATACAGCAGGCATCATGGTCGGGATTGAACCCACGACCTCCCGCACCTGCGCACATCCCATCACAGCTCACCTGCGAAGAGCACTTCCCCGCAGCGGATGGGCTTGCGGGGTTTCGTGCGGGGGCCCTGCATGAGTGGTCTTTCTTGGGGCAGAAGCAAATAGTTCTTGGCTTCATCCACGAGGTCTCTTGAGCGACGAACAGAGAAAAACAACAAAACATTAATGCACGCAGCGAGTGCACAGCATAAAAAAACGGGGGATGGTGGAGGGGGAGGAGCATAATACAAGAATCCCCCGCGATACATAAGGGATGCGTTCCTGGGAAATGCTACTTAACTCAAAAGTACTTAAAGCGAGCTCTAAGTTCCCATTAACATAATGTTAAAATCAGGGGTTGCGTTGCTAGCCGACATTTCTCGAAAATGCGCGACTAAATGTCATGAAGTGTACAAAAAAGCATATGATTATAAGTGAACATACGCTTTAAATAAGAATACAAATAATACAAAAAACTTAATACCAGAGATGGTTTAAGAGCTTGCTGATCGAGGCCTCTTGGCGATTCCTGGTGGTACATGCTATGCGTGTACAGTTCTGGTGGTACGTGCTATGCGTGTAAAGTTCGGTATTACATCGCAAAAGTCCGCTTTCTCCCTCGTGCATTCGTGTTATGCATATACATTCCTTTTAAAAATCGTGCAAAGAAAATTTGCACAATTATTAAACAAGGAAGGCAATTGCGCAAGAACTAATATGCATTTTTTTTCCAGAAAGCACAAGACAAACATGACACTTGGGCTTGTCTGGGGCGCCTGTGGCGCACCTCACAACCATTTACGGCCTTCGGCCAGGAAAGTCACAATATTTTTTTAACACGAACGACGCATTCATGCAAGCACCCGATGCTCCGTTTTGAAGTTTTTAAATTAAACATCTTTGAATTGTTTAGAATTAGATAATTTTATTTCTTCATGAAAAGCTTATATCATTTTACATCTGGAAGACTTCATTGAAAACGACATTTCGTGTGAATTTTCTCTCGCCGTTAAGTAGATGGCCTTGCTGGGGGTTCAGTTCGATGCGGACTTTCACCTGTTGGGGTTGCGGGATCGAATTAAGGCGATATAGAGCTGCTGGCCGTGCGAGAAGACCGCCATCTGCAGATCGATTCCAATGTAATCGAACGTCTGTCCCTGCGCCTCAGTCGTTCATGCAGGGGGCACGTAGGTTTGCAGCACCCCCTGCATGAAAACGATGAAAAGTGCAGCGTTCATCACAGATAAAGTTGCGTTCTTATATAAGAGTATTAATCAGAAACGTATATGCAAAACAATGCACAATGCGGAAACTTTCGTGGGGGATTCCTGTACCTTTGTTATGATTCGTGTGGGTCACCACAATCTTCTAATGTCAAACGGAGCCATAATTAACACTGTAAAAGTCCCATATTGCTAGTCAAGGCTCAGCCCAGACTTGGCTCTGGTTCAAGTAGGCCATGGCTCAAATTCATGTGCTTAATTTTAGCTGGCCTATGAGCACGATCCCAGCCATGCTCAAGATTTCCTCCTGCGCCAAGCCATGGATGACGAGCCGCTAATGCGTCTCTGGAAGCAACTCGGCAGCACACGCCTGAACTGAGCCACCATGTGAAGCCAGGGCTGAGCTGCGACTAAGAAGAGTATGACCCGAAGAAGTCTGTAGTCATGCCTCACACTGGTCTATCCAAGCTGGGGAATGGATAGCCCAGAATTATACTGGTAGGAACGAAGTGGACCAGACCACCAATAGATGAATGTGTCCATCCGTCCGTCCGTCCGTGTATCAACATCGCCCCCTACTGCAAACACTTGGCATGACCCTACAAAAACCTTTAGACTCAGTGACGCTATCCTGGCTAAACAAGTGTAACATTCCCTTATAATTCCCTCAGATAGCTTTTAATTACAATGTTACATTCCCTGATGTTTTTAAATAGCAACATTTACATTTAAAGCTAAACAAGATGGCCATCGCTTCCGGCGCCTCACGGCGAAACTTTAAACTTTGCTTCAAAATTACTTTACTGAAACGCAGCACGTTTTAAAAAAATAATTACTTTATTGAAACGCAGCACTTTTTTAACACAGAGACAAGAAACATTTATTAACACAGAGACGAGATACATTTAATCGCCTTATTTGTGCACGAAAAGCACGGCGCGAGGCCTAGTGCGGCAGGCTTCGCGAGGCCTAGTGCGGCAGGCTTATTAACACAGAGACGAGATACATTTAATCGCCTTATTTGTGCACGAAAAGCGCGGCTTCGCGAGGCCTACTGCAGAGGCTTCGCGAGGCCTAGTGCACCAGGCTTCGCGAGGCCTACTGCAGAGAAGGCATCGCGAGGCCTACTGCAGAGAAGGCTTCGCGAGGCCTACTGCAGAGAAGGCTTCGCGAGGCCTAGTGCAGAAGGCTTCGCGAGGCCTACTGCAGGAGGCTTCACGAGGCCTAGTGCAGGAGGCTTCGCGAGGCCTACTGCGACAGGCTTCGCGAGGCCGTCCGTCTGTCCGACAAGATGGCCGCCCGCTCCCCCTGCGATCCGTGAACTAAATGAACTAAACAAGATGGCCGTCGCATCCGGCGCAGCCAATGACATCGCCTGTTGCAATCCTTGCTCTGTGGGCGCGCGAGTCAGTGGGGAGGGGGGTGTGGACGTCATCGTCTGTGGGCGCGCGAGACAGTGGGGAGGGGGTGTGGACGTCATCGCTCACCCCCCATGCACAAATCATTTTCTTTTTAACTCCTCTATACCCGGTCGATATCCCTGTACCGGTATTAGTATTATTCCTACCAGCCCACCCCGCAGGGTCCTGTTAATAGAAGTGGGTGGAATGTGTAGTTGATTTTTGTTGAAATTATAAGTTATTTTTTCATTTCATCGTTCAAGCTCGCTTGCCTTCTTTGGTCAAAAAACGTAGATCCTTCTTGTCAGTAGCAGGAAAACAAACCTGTGATTATATATAATTAACGGTATCATTGTGAGTGTACATGTTCGCAGGAGTATCAAATTTACGCATCTGCGTTCCTGACTCGCCTAGTTATTTTGAGTAGTACCATTGTGTAGGTGTAATTAAAGGATATTCAAGTATTACATCAAATTCCGGGGTCCACTCAGCCTATCTTTCCTCCACCATGGATACAGCACGTACCGTTTGTGGCATGTCCACAGTGGTGATCCGATGTAGAGACTGGCGTGTACAATAGACCGACCCAAACTGGACGTCTGTTAAAAAGAGCGTCAAAGCTCATCGGATTCCTCCAGTCTAAATAAAGATTCTGATTCCGAATGTGATATCCCGACTACTGGCTCTGCCTTCAAACGAGGTGAGCTCAAGCCCCATTGCTCACTTGATCAAAGATTCTGACTTGCGGAAAATGTCACAAAAGAAGTCACGGCAGTGACCACGGAAACAATACATCACCTTCCTGCCAAGGTGAAGGTTTTGATGTTCACGTAAAATGTATCCCAACATTCGTGATTTTCTGCGAATCCTGTTCAGCCGACGACGCGGAAATTGGCATGGCAGCCTCCCGTGGGTTTCACGGAAAACACGCACCACCACTCGTGACAGCGTGGCCGGCTACCTGCATGCCTCGTCACTCTTCACCAGAAGGTCCGTCCCCACTGTGCCCACCAGGAACTTGGGTGTGAGCAGGGGCAGACGGACGTGTTGCAGCACCTACACAAAGACAACGATCCCCCGTATAGCCTTTAACAGACTGTTAGAGCAAGTGCTATCATGGGACCTTCTTTACCAGTATTTGGTGTTTGAACATCCTAACACCTCCTGTTTTATTGCCAGAAAGGGTAGAACCTATTCTTATTTTTCATTGAGCAAGTGCTGTTCGCGAGCCCCTATGAAGACCGGCACGACACACAAGGGGGTGGGTGGCCAACACGACACCCGGCACCTTTGCCTCTGCAGTGGTGATGTTTACAAACCGCACCAGGTACTCGTTTGAGGCCGAGTCGACCTAGGGGAGGCCTAGCGTGATAACCGTTACACTAACGCACACACACACGGAGAAGAAGATCCCTCGCTTAACCTTATACGGCAATAGCAAAAGTACGGCATCTTGAGATGCAGCTGCATTTAGATGCTATACAGATATACATTGTATGGTTTAATTGGATTGAATCATTGCCTGCGAGAGAGATCCACAGACGGGACTTTGTCCAGATTGATACACCCATACACAAACAAGACACAGGCCTTCCTATAGACAAACCGGCTGCTTAGACACATGTGCGGAGCTTTTTTGTTTGGCATCACACATACACCTTTGCTACCCAAGTAGTGATAACACAAACACTGGATACTCATTTTAGGTCGAGTTAACCTAGAGGAGAGGGGATATAATCAAGAACCATGCGCCCCGTGTGTGTGGCAAGGAATTCGGGCTGAGATGATGCGATTGCGTCAGTGCGTTTTCAGAATACTATTCCACTGCTATCTAGACTGTAATACATTTTCAACAAGACGAATAGTCACACACTGTTGCCACTATACTCATTGGTTCTTTCGGTAAAGTTACGTAGGTGAAACATTAAAATAAAATGTAAGAATAAAAATAAAAAATAGAAATAACCAAATTAAATCACCACGTTTCGGAAGCAACACAAGCTTCCGTCATCAGGTGGGACAACCACAGTAAGAAACAAACATTACTGTAGTGGGCAAAGACAGCTGTTTGTGACAAGTGATTATATAAGGTAAAGAGGGAGGAGAGATGCAGGGGGCAGGGATTGTGGAGTAGGGGGGGGGACTTCTGTTGAGACACGGCTGGTGAGACACAATGCTGGCGCTGGGAGCGGGCGGGGGGGGGCTACAGAAGATGTCACCTGGTTAATGACACTATTAAAGCACACACGAGATTTGGCTGGTGCTCATCAATGTGGGCGGCCCTAAGCCAGTGGTGGAAGTTGTGCATTCATACGCGAGGGGGGCAGTTTTGTCGTCGTGCAGCCACTGTATCCTATTACGATCAGCAAGAGGAGCGATATAGTTACCTCTACTGTGTGTGCTTTATGTGCTTTTATGTTGTCAAGCATGAGCTCCCCGCTCTACTAGGTGGGGATGAACTAAATAATTGATTTCAAAACAGGTTCTTACGCTCACAATAAAAGCATCAAATTTAGTTTCAGGAAGAAGTGATTATTTGATTGATTGAGGGACGACCAAGCTACGTAGAACAGATTGTTATCGGGTGATAATGTGCTATGATACCAGCAGATGGCAGTGCAGCAAGATCAACTGTTGTGCTAAACTGGTAACACATCTAATAATAGGATTTTCCCCTTTTTTCTGGCAACACTCACCAATTGAGGCGAGGCTCAAAAGAAAGCCGTCTCTGGTGTGGACCAATCAGTTTCAAGGACAATGCATACATTATCAGTGTGTTTTGTTTGCATTCTGACCACAAGTATTGTGGTTAATGCAGACATGATTCCTTGTAAAAAAGGTTTCAGTTTTGTTGCCAGAAAAAAATGGAAAAACCCTATTATTATATCTTGGCACTGGCAAGGAGGTCTAATGATGGTCAAATATCTCGCCTCCACCTGAACTAACCCGTACTGACGAGCGTGGCAAAATCTGGTCGTGTAACCTCCACGAAATACACAGCATGGGGAGGCTCTCAACCTGCAGTGGCTTGACATTAGGGGCGTCCACGTACCTAGCGGAGGCCTAGGAAGGACACAACCGCCGATCAGCGGTTACGCAAGCGCGCACACAGGCAGGCACCTGGGGTAGCTGTGGCCGGCGCTCCTGGATGTTGTATTTGACCCAGGCGATGACGGCGCTGTACACCTGCTCCTCGCTGCGCACGTTTAGCTCATCGGTGGATATGATGTCGATGAGCTGGTTGGCAGGAAGCAGCATGAACTCTTCACTCTCCATTACCTGCGAAAGCAACAGATGCCCCGCTTCATGTCAGCCTGGATTACTGAGCACAGTGTTAATATGGAGCACCTCTTGATGGCTGGGTGGTGGTGGTACACGACTGGAATCCAGCGCCGTGGAGTCGAGGGGTGGCAGATCACACAAATGTCACAACAACTTCATTCCCGTGGCTTTACCGCCAGGATAAAGCGGTAAAGCAAAAATGTGGACTCGATCCGTTCCCTCTGTATGGGATAGTATTGTCGCCTCGCACGTGTAGGCTTTCTCCAGGTGCTCCGGTTTCCTCTCACATATATCGGCAACATTAATTGGCTAAAAGCACCTTCATATATAGAGGACCACAGACATTGTACACGCCAGCTCACCACCTGGCTGCTGCCTTCCTGTTTGTCTTTAGTTCCTCCTCACACCTCCGAGTCATGCTCTCTCCTGTCTTCGAGAGTGAGCGGATACCGTGCGGCACATTGCGAGTTGAAATTGTTTATTGCACAGAAAACTTAAATTCTTGGTGGATTCATTACCCTTTGTGGAGATTAGTATCGTGCCTTGATAGCCACACACACGCTACTCGCAACACACACATAATTGCATTACAAGTACCCTCAACTGCGCACGTAAGCATAACTACAAACATACAAAATCAACACCCACACAATTAGCTACCAATACAATGAAAGTGAACGGCAATCTCTTTTGCACGTCACAATGAAAGTGGCAGAAATATATTTTTAAAGGAATCCACAGCCAAATAAAAGAGAGCCTCTTATAGACACACTTCTATGATAATAGGTTTTTCCCCTTTTTTCTCGCAACAAAACAGGTGTTAAGATTTCGATTCAAAGCTTTCGTGACTGCAGGGATTCATATTATTGGTTCTTTTGGTAAAGTCACGTAGAAGGGAAATAATAAAATATCAAAAATAAAACAATAAAATTATCACGACGTTTCGATTGCAACACAAGCAATCATCATGTACGTGACTTTACCGAAAGAACCAATAACAGGTGTTAAGATGTTAAAATACCAAACTGAAACCTTTCACAAGGAATCATGTCTGCATTAACCACAATGCTTGTGGTCAGAATGCAAACAAAAAACTAACTCTGATAACATATGCATTGTCCTCTGGTCAAAAAGGCGTCCTCTGGTCTAACACCGTTTGAGACGAGGCTCAAAAGAAAGCTGTCTCTGGTGTGGACCAATCAGTTTCAAGGACAATGCATATATTATCAGAATATTTTTGGTTTGCATTCTGACCACAAGCATTGTGGTTAATGCAGACATGATTCCTCTTAAAAGGTTTCAGTTTGGTGTTTTAACATCTTAACACAGCTGTTTTGTTGCCAGAAAAAAGTGGAAAAACCTATTATCATATTTTGGTACTAGCAAAGGAGGTCCCATGATGTGGACACACACCTAGGCTCTGTGTTCCAGGTTGTCCGAGATGAGTCTGAAACTTAATTGCGCACAAGCAAAATACTTGAAAGTTACTTCAAGTCTTGTACTCTCGTGAACTAGCGATATAATTGCAGCAAGTCAATGCAGTTACATTAATGTGCTGCAATGATATCACTAGAGCTTTTTGGCAGCACGTCTGAAAGTCAATTTTAAAAGCTCTATCATAACCAAAGATGCGTTGGACTGCCCAGGCTACACAGGCTAGGTGCTTACAAAAACACAACTCTCTTTTGGCTTGCATTTTCCTTTAATGTGGCTCAGATGATAAGAGCACTGAGGTGGCACCGTTTAGATGCTGGCTTTTGAATTAAGGCCTGTGATTAAAATGGGTTTTAATGTGCAGTGATTTGATGGTCTCAGCCCAGTCACCAATGACTACACACACAAAAACCCAACGACGTTATATTTATACTTTTTTTCCGGTAAAGTCACGTAGGTAAAAAATAAAATAAATTAAAATGAAAATAACTAAATTAAATCAGGTACCTGAAGACGGACGCTTGTGTTGCGCCCGAAACGTCGTGATTTAATTTAGTTGTTTTCATTTTAATTTATTTTATTTTATACCTACGTGACTTTACCGAAAAAACCAAAAAGTATGGATCCTTGCAGTCACGAAAACTTCAAATCTAGAACGTTACACTTAGTTCTGCTGTGTGTAGTGAGTTG